TGAATTTTCAGGCAGAGAGATTCAAAAGAGCAAAGCCTCGGATGCTGAAATAACCTTTGCTATTTATAGGAACTACAGGAAAGAAGGCCCGCGGAGTCAAGCCGAATGGGTAAGAGGGAGAATCATTGGTAGTGGGGCTGGGGGTGGGGGACAGGCTACAGATCTTCTAGGACCTTGTGGGCCATCGCACGGAAGTTATAGTGTCTCATTTATGCTGTGAAAAGATCACTGACTGCTCAAAGGACACGATTGTAGCTGGGAGCCGGGTCACTGCGAATATGGAAGGCTACTGTCCAGGCAAGACTAAGTCACCCAATGCAACAGACAGCTGGCTGCCACCAGTGTCCTCAAAGGAAGGCCTACCTAATTATATAAAAGAAGTAACTTCAGTGTATTAACGGCTTTTATGGAAGAAAATAATATTAAGGTGTTTTGTGGTAGATGGGGGCCACGACAAACAGTTGCAATTCACCCCGATATATTCTTTTACGCCGTCTTTCGCTTATTCAAGAATGTTCATTTTGGTGCCTTCCACATGAGCTATTGGTAGGCAAACAGCTCAGTCCTGCCCAAGGAAGCTTATGATCAAGTATGAACTAAACTAGAAAACAGCTGTGAACAGCGCTGAGAGATAAATACCATGGTATAGGCCGAGAGAGCTTTCGGCAGGGTCCCCAAACCTGACTTGGATGTATGGAAGGCTTCCCAGAAGCTAGAAGTTCCCAAGTTGAAAGTTGAGAGTGGGAGGGAGGACATCGAGTATAATTTAGGGAGGAAGAATGGGCCGAGCAAGGCCTGGGAATCCTTAAAGTACACAGCATTTCCGAAGAACTCAGAGAAAGCCTGAAAGGTTCGCAGAAGGACGTGGGTGTAGGGTGGGCCAAGAAACAACCACTATGCGAGGTATCTGTGGCAGTTGTCCAGGGTAGATGTGTATACTGCAGTCGTGGCGGTGAGGATGGAGAGCAGTGAGAGGCAGGAGGGTCCAGAAAGATGGCTAGATTTCCAACTTGGATGCCTACCTAGGACATACAGATGCTAGATAATGAGTTTAAGAGGCCATAGAACGAGTTGAGTTTGTGCTGACGGTGCCTTGTGGGACCGCCGCGTGGAGTTCTCTGATGGTGTTTACATATTGGACTATGGAGTCCAGAAGTGACCTAGCCCCTGACTGGATTCTGAAATTGTTAGCATGAAGATTACCAGAACATTGGAATATAATGTGTAATGGAGAAACATGATGCCTCCAGCTTTGTTCTTGAGAAGAACTACTAGCCTTCCTCTGGCTATTCAGGGTCTCTTGTGGTTCCATAGAAATTTCAGGATTGTTTGCTCTATTTCTGTGGAAAATGCCGTTGGAATTTTGATGGGGATTGCATTGAATCTGTAGATTGCTTTGGGTGGATTGGCCATCTAGAAAATAGTGACTCGTCCAATCTGCGAGCATGGAATATCTTTTCATTTATTTGTGTCTTTTTCATTTGTTTCATTAAAATCTGGGTCTATGTGGGTCTTTCAACTCCTTGGTTAAATTTATTTGTAGGTATTTTATTCTTTTTGTTGCAATTGTAAGTAAATAAGATCATTTTTTAAATTTCTGTTTCTTATATTCAGTATTAGCATAATGGATTTTTTTTATATTGATTTTATATCCTGAAACTTTATTGAATTTGTTTATTCTAACAGGTTTTTTTTGGTGGAGTCTTTGGGGTTTTCTGTATATAATACGTCACCTGCATATAATAACAGTTTTACTTCTTTTCGATTTGAATGCCTTTCATTTTTCTTGCCTAATTGCCCTGGCTAGGACTTCCAATACTCTGTTCAGTAAACATGGCGAGAGTGGATGCCTTCATCTCGTTCCTGATCTTAGGTGAAAAGCTTTCAGGTTTTCACCATTGAGTATGATGTTAGCTGTGGTTGAGGTATATGTTCCCTCTTTCCCCAATTTGTTGAGTTTTTATCATAAATGGATGTCGAAGTTTGTCAGTTGCTTTTTCCGCCTCTGTGAAGATGATGACATGACTTTTATCCTTCCTTTTGTTAATGTGGCGTATCATAGTCACAGTTTTGCGGATGTTGAACCATCCTTACTTACGTTCCCGGACTAAATCCCACTTGATCATGGTGTATGATCCTTTCGATGTGCCGCTGAATTTGGTTTGCTGAAATTTTGTTGAGGATTTTTGCATCTATGTCCATCATGATAATGGCCTGTAATTTTCTTTTCTTTTTTAAAAAATTTTTAAGTTTATTGGGGTAACATTGGTTAATACAATTATATAATTTTCAGGTATATATTATCATTTGACATCTGTATATTCTTTTGTTTGTTTACCACCCACAGTCCGGTTTCCTTCAGCTATCATATATTTGATCTACTCTACCCTCCCCCTAAACTCTATATTTGATCCCCTTTACCCCATCTACCTTTTCCCCACCCCACTAGTAACCACTAGCCTATAGTCCATGTCTGTGAGTCTCTGTTTGTCCTGCTCATTTGTTGATTTTAGCTTTATATCCCATATATAAGTGATACCATGTGATTTTTAATTTTTTCTGTCTGGCTTATTTCACTTAGCATGATTATCTCGAGGTCCATCCATGTCGTCGCAAATGGCAGTATTTCACCTCTTATGGCTGAGTCATATTCCATTGTATATATGTACCACGGCTTCTTTAGCCAATCATCTGTCATAGGACACTTCCGTTGCTTCCATGTCCTGGCCACTGTGAATGATGCTGCTGTGAACATTGGTGTGCAAATCTCTTTTTGGATATGGGTTTTCAAGTTTTGGGAGTAAATACCCAGTAGAGGAATTGCTGGATCACATGGTAGATCAACTGTTAGTTTTTTGTAATTATCTTTTCTTTGTCTGCTTTTGGTAGCAGGGCAATGCTGACCTCGTAAAATGAGTTTGAAAGTGTTCCCCCCTCTTCTGGTTTTTGGAAGAGTTTGAGAGGGATTGGTATCATTTCTTCTTCAAATGTTTGGTGGATTTCACACGGAAGCCATCTGGTCCTGGGCTTTTGAATGTTGAGAGGTTTTTGATTCCTGATTCAGTCTCCTTAGTAGTAACCTCTCTTAGTAGTAATCAGATTTTCTGTTTCTTCATGATTCAGTCTTGGGAGATGATATGTTTCTGGGAATTTTTTTCTTTTTTTCTAGGTTGTCCAGTTTGTTGACATAGAAAATCATATTTAAGTTTAAAGCAAAAGGAAAATTTGGAAGAGCTTTCTAGGCAGAGGGAACAGCATTGAATCAAGGTCCAGAGTCAGGAAGGAACCTTTCCGAGTGACTAAATAAAGAAGCGTTGGCATCTTCTTACTTGAGTTACATAAATGTTTTCACTATAAAAGCCTTGTAGTTTCACAAATCTTTTAGTATTTGCTACTTGGCCGAGGTGGGGTAGATAACTTTATTTTTCAACTGAAAATCAAATCCGTTTGTGTGCACAGTATTCAGAATTCAGGAGTTCAGTAAAATCTAGTTGGTACTGTTGTCACATTTATAGACGTTACTTAAACTCTGCCCTGTCACTAGTGGGGGGTTTTTTGTTTGTTTGTTGTTTGTTTGCTTGGTGGGCGGGGTGAGAAAAGGAGGCATAGTTGGTAAAGGAGAATGAGTGAAGAAAGATTTCATTCTGAAGCATCGCTGAAAATGTAGAACCATATTTTAGCAACTAAAGGTAGAAAGGTTTTAGTTTTTATATCGATACACTAGACATCTTCCATTAAAAAAAAAAATTCTTAGCATTAGCATGATAAACCCAATGAGCTCAGATTCCTTCTCAATAAAATCGAATAGATTGGTTAGTAGTTCAAAGTATAGTTCCCAGTCCGATTCTTGGGCCCTCCCGAGACCCACCGAATCCCAGTCTCGGGGGCTGGGCCCAGCTGTCATGTTCCAACAAGCCTTCCATGGGATTCTGAAGCAAGAGTTTGAGAACCACCGGTAAAGATCATCTCTGAGATTTTCTCTGCTACTGAAATGCTCTGATTCTAACGGCCAGCTTTAGTCTGTCGTGTGTAAAACGGTTTGTCTCAGAGGGGATCATTTACTAGCATTATCTTGGGAAGATACGTGTGGGTATTTTCTGCCATCCCTCTGCGGTTCTGGGCTTCTGAGACCAAAACCACGTCATTGCCTGTCTAAAACCCTCACACGTTTATTCAGCAGTATGGCATTCGTCGACTCCTGTGTCCGGGCCAATTAAATGCCAGCTAGGATGACCCTAGTCAAGCCGTCAAGTTGCCGAGACGAATGTGACCTCGTCTGCGGTTTCCCGTCGTCGGGACTGCTCCCTGCGCCCCCTGTCAGAGGCCCAGTGTCTGTTAGTTAGCAGGTGCTGATGTCAATAATGCTGGCATCGCAGCGTTATTTACAATAGCTAAGATATGGAAACGACTTGAGTGACTGTCAGAGGATGAATGGATGAAGGGAAAAACAAAAATTCCACCAGGCTCATAGATACACAGAATGGATAGGTGTTTGTCAGAGATAGGGGCGGGGCGGAGGGAGAAGCGGGGAGGTAAAGGTACCGACTTCCGGTCACAGCATGAACAAGTCATAAGGGTGTGACGTACAGCTTGGTGGTTACGGTGAATACTGTGTCACCCATTCGAGAGTTTTTAAGAGACTAGATCTTCAAAGTTGTCATCACACCCACAAAAAATTTTGGAACTGCATGGTGACGGATATTAAGTGGACTTGTCGCAGTGATCGTATGGAGTACATGTAAATACCTGCTCATCATGCTGTCCACCGGAAACTATTGTAATGTGACACGCCAGTTATGTCACAATAAGAACAATTACGAGATTCTAGTAACTAGTTTTTTATATTTGCGCCTGTCTTAACTCGCCACCTCCTTAACCATGGGGCAGGACGGTCGCTTATTCTCGAATAAATCACATTTGTTCGTTTTCTTAAAGCAGCTTTACACCACAGAAGTATGATGGAAGAAGCGCGCAGGGCGGTTCTAGGCGTCAGCCCGCCACGCGTCGTCATGGGGAACAAGTCCTGCTGGGGCCTGGGAAGTCCTGCCGATGTTCACTGCGGATTATTACAAGGACGGTCACATTTAATTTAACCCTCCCCGCACCCCGTGACCTGGGAACTGTCCTGTGCCCCTTGAACACAAAGGAGGCTGAGGCTTAGCAGGTAACTGGCCCCATGGTGACCCCGATGTGGCGGAGCCATTTAACTCTGGAACCCAGGCCCCAGGCTCTTACCTGCTCTGGGCCAGAAAGTAAACTGAAAGAACAGTCCCCGGATCTGAAAGAGCAACCTTCCTGTCTCCCTTCCTCCCCACATACACCCCGATTCACGCAGCGGTGTAGATGAGGCGGGCACAGGCTCTGAAATGACACTCTCTGGGTTCACATCCCGACTCCGCCGCTTAACGAGCTCTGTAACCGAATCTCTTGGTGCCTCAGTTTTCTTATCTGTAAAATGGGTGTGATAAGTAAGGATCCACCTCACGCAGTTGCTGTGAAGCCCGTGATGCAGGACGGGGCCAATCGCCCCAAGTGGCACGGCACTCGGGCCCCATACCGTGGAGGTTCTTGGCCGAGCGCAAGAAAGAATTCAGGCGCACGCCAGAATTAGAGTCAGAAAGGAAAGTTCCTCAGAGAAGGGGTGACGCTCCATAGACAGAGCGTGGTCACCTCTCAGAGGCAGAGAGGGAGCCTGAGAGAGACTCAGAGGGACAGACAGTGACAGCAGGAGGGTCCCCTAGCGTTCGGGGAATTCAGTGTACGTATTCTTTAGCTTCTGCGAGTCACTTTAAAGGCAGCGTGTACGCATTTTCCTTTGGTGGCACGTGGAGTGAAGAGAGAAGCAGCAGCATGGAAAAGGAAGACACTGTGGCGGGAACGTCCTGCTGGCGGTTCCCGGCCTTTGATCCACAGGTTCCCCGTGGCTTTAGCCATAGGGAGGGAATGCACGGTTTTATTTTGCGTGGGGCCGCCACTTACACACTGTCCTGCATGTATCCCTTCCACAGGTCTGGGAGATGGGTCGTTAGCAACCCCAGCAGAAATCTTCCTTTGCTCTGCAGGTTTCTTCGCGGTCCGGCTGAGGGCTGGTCAGCACGTTGCGGTCTCTGAATGCGGCGCGATTTCACATCTAAGTTCCCTCGCCTCGTCCCTACATTCCCATTGCTCACTCGGAATGGTGTCTGGTACATCATAGGCGCTCAATAAAATTCAGCAACGATTATTCCTAGAGAGTCAATTTTATGCGAAGATGATGGGAAAATATATTGTTTTTATCTTAAGACGTACATGGTTCTTAGGTATGGAATGCAAAATTCAAATACTTTATAATATTTAATCAATAAAAGAGACTTTGGACATATCTTATGGTTGTCACAGTGCCCCCTTGGGCCTCCTGGCGTGGGAGTTCACTCTCCTTTGCCAAGAGGCATTTTCTAAAAAGAACCCAGAGAATCATTTCTCATTCCTTTGTCCTAATTAGGCCTTTCTGAATATTTGTGTCCTTCCCAGGCTGGACCGATGTCTTTCGTTTCTCCACTCTGGCTGGCTTCAGAACTTCTCAGCATTCTGAGCACCCTTCCCCCGACCCTTTGTTAGTGTCACTGAAAACCTTGGTGTCCGCAGACTCCATCCTCCTCCAGACCGGCCTGTGGTGATGCAGCCTGAGATGCCCCCCCACCCTTTGTAGCAGTTGCTTCAGGAAAAAAATGTGTGATTGGTTAAATTTCCTAGCTTCCCCCTCTCCTCCCCCCAGAATGTGTCTTTTAATGCTGTAATAGGCTGGGTGGTTTTTTTTATGTGTTTTTTTGTATGTTTGTTTTTAAGAATGTAAAGGAACAACTGCAATTCTCAAGGGGCTACTTATAGACATTTGTTTCAGTTCGGATTTCTTCACCAGCATTAATATTGAAAAGATATTGTGACCAGCAGGTTCACACTTAGTCACCATAGAAGCAGCCTAGCACCTGTCGTGTTCATCCATTTGCTCCCTGCTTGGTGGTGTTACTGTTGGGGCGATCTAAAATCTATAGTGGCCCCGGTGCCACTGAAGGGGTCCTCTGTTCTTTCCGCGGACCCAGTAAAGAATTACAGATCAGCGAGATTTAGAAAAGGTAAGATTGATTAAAGTCCATTTCAAAAGAGAAACGGGCTACGCCAAAGAGGGCTGTGGCCTCTGTATTATATTAGAGCCGTGATCGAGGGATACGAGGGCGGTGCTAGATGATTGACGTGCGAGATCATTTTGATTGATGTTTGGCTGTTATGAGCCTTTGCCTACTACGCATGCGGGCACCCAGAATTCAGTCTGTTATAATTAGAATCATAAACTTCCGGGTATAGGCATGATATTATAATGATGGTGTAACGAGGCTGTGGTTACAGAGGGGTTAGGATACTATTAACTGTGCAAGAGCTTGTGGCCCAACCAAACCAGCTACTATTTTATGGCTTTTCAATCCTTTGAGCCTCAGGATGTAGGGATAATTTATAACCATCAAATGGGGGTTCTAGGGAGATCCCAAGGGAGGTCTTTGGGAGGGGTGTTCATTCCCCAGTCGCTCATGTCTACCTAACTACCTACCAGTATTTCTAACCCCTAATGGATGCTTTGTGTTTTTCCTCTATAAAGGGTCATTTTGAATCTGTATCTCAATTTAAAGTTTATAACTTTTCAGCCAAATTTCTCCTAGCCACTCTTATCAAAGAACCTAAGTCTGGTCATGGTAGAAAACAGCTCATTTCCCTGAAATGTTCGTTTGCTTGTTTCTTTATCTACTTATTGGCATTCATTTTAGTTTTGTGTGCTGAAATGGTTGAATCATTTGAAATGGCCCTTTTTGTAGGTCAAAAATGATTGAATGGAGCAATTTCACTCACGTTTGTGGTAAAATTTAATGACTTAAGATGTATAGAAATAGAAGTATTTTTATTGCTGGAGCATTGAAATAAAAATAATTCCATTTGTGACTGAAAATTATAATAATAGAGTTCAGAATATGATATTAGTTAAAATCTAAAATAGTCTATTGTCGTAGACGTTGTGACATATAAAAATGTCAGTAGTTTGGGAAGAAATGTTCTCTTAAAGTAAGGTAGGTACAATGGAGTCAGATTTTGAAGTGGAACATGGAAACTAATTTCTGATGTGCGACAGGCAAGATACACAGACAGTTAAGGAGATGATTTTATCCAAGGTGTTGCAAAAGGAAAACGTTCATCAATGAGAAACCTCTCGAAGAAGAAGGAGAACACGTGGGATTTTATGAAACAAGGGAGTCAGTGAGAAGGGGTGGACATGGTCCTATCTGGGGGTGTGGTCCTTCCTGCTCAGCCCTTCCTTGCAAAACAGAAGGCTGCTGTCGGTTTTCCTTAACCATTTCTGCTTCCTGGGAGCACAGGACTTAGGTAAAGTTTCACATCGTCACATGGAACCAGATTATATTTCCAAAAATAAGATTCAGAGAAAACTTGCCAAAAGTTTTATTTATAACTTTAAATTAAAATCTATAGGCTGCTTAATATCTATTTCTACACCAGGGGACTTACACAGGGCAGCTTGTCTTGTGAGGGGGGAGGGGCGGTGATCAGAAACTGAAATTTCTTTGAAGCCGAGCGAGTGTAGAAGGAGGTTGGAAGACCAAGGGCAGGTCTGTGACCTCTTCATAGAGGTGACACCCAACATATGTGACAGCCCTCCGAGGTCTTTCGCGGGGAGGAAGGAGGGTAAAGATAGGCAGGGCGTTTATAAAGAAGTCGGGAAAGTCTGTGGATTTTGTTAAAGGAGAAATTTTAAGATGACAAAATCACGACTCCTACGAAATCATATCCACGATTTTATTGAACTCATTAGTTAATGAGAGAACCAGGTAGATGTCACAGTCATTTTAAAGGAGAAGGAAAAGAACCACGCATTTATGTGGCGTAAAGGACTGTCGAAATGAGTTTATGAATGGAGGCAAAGCTGGGTTTTCCCACCGCAGGGAGGGCGTGTCCCTCCACCAGACAATCAATCACTTGCGTATTGTCTGTAGACAAGAGTTACTTGCATTGCTATCATTCATCATTTACAGAGGTGCAAAGCAGCTGACCAGCAACGAAAAGACCTAACTCAGTGGGATCAGGTAATTCCCAGGCTCCAGCATTCCATCGAAGGGATATTCAGTGATCTCTTTGCTTGTGCCCAAGTCTTAAACGTGTAGTTCTCTATAGTAACTACACGCTCCCTCTATTCCTCTGTCAGTTGATTGCCGTATTCTCTGCTTTTAAAAGCCATCTCTGACCCTGAATGTCCTTACCCTTCACTCATCCTGGTCTCATCACGTCAGAGGATTCTGGGACAACCGGATGTCTACATTCCCATCCAGCTACGAGTATACTTCTGGATTGCTTTTGCTGGATATCTTGTCTTTTTCTTGGGATGGCATTTTTAAATTTTTTACTTAACGTTTTAAGCGATGACCATGACCTTTCTATTATCATATGATTTTTTTCTTAATACGCATTATATTTTTCATTAATAAATAGGTTTCTTTATCATATAGTCGTAAGTCGGCAATTCATTAGCGATAACCATAATACTGTCTGACCACCAAGCAATGTAACTTCAGGTTTTCATGTATAAGTTGAAGGTGAAGGTTAACCAGTTTGAGGTAGCTCAGTGGTTCTCAGCCTGGATGATTTTGTCCCCCAAAGGGGGCGCTACTGGCATCTAGTGGGTTGAGACCTGGATGCTGCTAAACATCCTACGATGCAAAAGACAGCTCCCCAAACAAAATTATCCAGTCCAGATGTTAATAGCACTTGAAAAACCCTTGATAGCCCATTGAAAAATGTTAGAGGAAAACCGAAATTTCGACTGTGAAAAAATTTAAAATGATTTTGTGGTCTTCAATCTGTTTGGAAAACACACTTCATTTTTATGGTCTTAGTGTTCCTATTACCAATATTTCATTTTAGAAATTAAGCAAGCAGTATTACTTTGAACTTTAGAGACTAAATGAACAGATGCCTGTTCCTGATAATATGATGTATATAACACAACGTTTAAATCATTTTTCTTATTTTAGGTTTCGCTGAAGAAACGTCTTAGGGATTCATCGCATTTCTAAGATTACTATTTCCCATTTGGAACTGTCAGACCTTCTTAGAAGATATATTTTGGCGATCAAAATGAAAGACTTCTGCGAAGTTTTAGAACAGTTATACAAGAAGGTACTTCTTGGAGCCACACTGGAAAATGACAGTCAGGAATACGTCTTTTATCTCAACCCAGTATTTTTGGATCGAGACGACTCTACAGCCACCTCCTCAGAATGTTCACACACTCTTGGTTTCCGGGACAAGTGTCAGCCATCCTCTGTTAATTGGGCCACCACCTCTGTAGCTCCCGTGTGTTTGAAGAGATGCGCTCAAACGAGCAGTGCCCGAGAAATACTACTCCTTCAGTTAACGGTGACCAAAGTGATGCTAACCAGGATACTGTCTGAGACCGAATTCCATGCAAAGGATAAATACAGAGAGATCATTCAAATTCTCTTAAAATCATCTGACTTGGATTCTAAATTAGTAAGCCTTTTCTTTGCAGGTTATATCTTTTTTTAAGATCTAGATTTTTAAAACGAAAGTTTTAAAAACACTTAGCAACAGTGGGTAAATCTATTTGTTTTCCTATAGACCGGTATGTTCCAGAACTCGGATAAATTGTTATCTCACATGGCTGCAAAATGCCTTGCCCTACTCCTGTATTTCCAATTGAAAGAAAAGGTAAGAAACGTAATCGAACTAGTTATTATTTCTTTTATAGTTTCTTTAAAATTCCTCTTCGGCATTCAGTTTTACCCTTCAGATATCTGTATCAGTAAAATGTTCGCTCACATAATAACATGTAAATCCACAGAAGTATAAGAATGCAATAATAGGATGATGACTCGTGTCAAGGATTAGAGTCTTAAATATGTTGTAACTCATAACTCAGACTCTTAATCCAAAAGACGGGTTTCAAGTCGGAGAGTCCATAACTCTCTTCGGATTCTCAAAAGAGTAGGTAGGGTCTTTATTCTCCTCCAGGGAAAGGTTTAGGAATCCCTGCTTGAGACAGAGACCATTTTCACAAGTTTAATGTAAATAAATTCTAAGATTGATCCTCACACATAATGAAAAATATATGAATAAATCGAGCATCAGATTTTTCTCCTATCTGAATGTTATAAACATTCTTCTGACTTTCAGCTATAATCGCTTGTTCCTTTCTGAAAACAACTTTTTTTCCCCCAAATACAGAAGGGTAGAATTTGCCGAAGAAAATTTGGAACATTAGAAAAAGTATGAAGAACAAAATAAAAATTATACATCCTTCCACCACGTAAAGATAAATAACCACCGCTAATATTTTCCTGTTCCCTTTTGATCCTTGATTTCCATGGCATGTTGAATTTCCTGACATAAAGAATATTCGGATATTTGTGTCCTCGTTTTAACAAATGTTATACTTTTTTAAAAAACAGTGTTGTTTTTTAAAACAGGTGATTAATAGGTGATTTGTAACTGTTAAGAAAAATTGTATTATAACTTACTACTTTAAATTTTTACTATTTCAAATTGTATTATAACTTACTACTTTAAAAATTTTTACTATTTAAAAAAAAGTGTTGTTTTTTAAAATAGGTGTGTATAATAGGTAATTTGTAACTGTTAAGAAAAATTGTATTATAACTTACTACTTTAAAAATTTTTTTTCTCACTCGCAGATAACATTAAGTAATTCTTGGGTTGCTTTTTGCCATAAAAACCTTTCCGAATACTCTGAAAGTGATAAAATAGTGTACTGCCTCTGGACTCTTGCTGTTGTAATAAAAGAAATCTTTAAAGATACACGTTCACAAAAAACAGGTATGAATTACGTTCTCCCATCAACAATCAGCATTATCTTGCTCTCAAGGAGCGTTATATTTATAACAAAGAGTAAAACTTACTTTACACCGTCTATGTTGAAGTATGAAAAACCAAAGACTCTCACTCCATATTTTTTGATAGAAGATACCTTTTTAAAAGAAAAAGATTAAAAGCTTTCCGTTGTTATTAAAAATTAAAACGAAAGCTTTTCGTTATTATAGATCCCTGGCGTAGTCTGATAGTACTGTTACTTGTAAAATGGATATTAGCGTGGTTATTACTGGTTAGCCTCTTCGTGTGTTCACGTTAGCAGGAAGCAGTGCAAATCCATTTTTCCATCTCGTAAAATGACATTTCTAAAAATTGGATTGTAAAAGTGTGTTTTCAGAGGACTGTTTTTTCCTGTTGTTTATGATCACTATTTTTATAATTGCAGAAATCTTAAAGCAGTTCCTGACACCTTTTGACAGTATTTTTGAAGTCTTTTACGATTCCTTATTTTCTCAGCGTTTTGAAAACTGCCAGGATACTACTAAAATAGTAAACACCTTGATATGTTTCCTGGAGTTGCTTGAACTTCTTATAGCCTCTAGAATCCACCTGGCATCACAGTTCACCTGCCAGAGGATTGTATTTTTGAAACCTTCTTGCGTGCTAGATGTGATTACCTGGCCCGTACAGGCTTTCGTCAAAAGGAAGTTCATCATATTCATCAAAAAGTGCCTTCTCTGTAAAGTGGGTGACGACCTCTGTCGGGGATCTGTCCCTGCGTTCACGCCACCAGATTGTCATTTAAATGTGGACATGTTGGCCTTAGCTGACGCCGTCTTGCAGGCTGTGGACTTGGGCTTGTTGAGGACACTGTCTGTCCGTGGGAAACCGTCTCGCTTTGGAGGTGGCGAAGTTCCACCTGGATCGGAGTCTGTCCCTGTTCCCGATCACGTGACCCTTAGAGCTGCGAGCTTACTTGTCATCAAATCCTTAGAAATCAAGTTTCAAAACTGTGCATCAGCAAACGAAATGAAAGGTAATTAATTCTAACTCCTTTTACATGCAAAGTAAAGGTTTACTGAAGTGAAATTATTTATAATGATCAAATCTCCACTAATTTCAGTTACGTGTAATCCTAGTTATGATTTATCAGATTGCCATGAAAAAAAAAAATAAAAAGAATTACCTTAAGAAACATGGCAGTTTTTTGTGAGCTAAACCGAATTTGCAGAAGCATAATCAATGACTAAGGTTAAAAATGATAGTTGCTATTGGGTCCCCTCAAAGTAAGTGATACAGTAAGTCAATTCATATCCAGAAATTAGTAGTATTTTATTCATCTTTTTCTTCATAAAGTTGGTACACCTACTAATGCGGATGACTGATAATTAGGACTTGAATTGAACTAATATGCGAGAGGTTTTATTGACGAAGAAATTGTTGCATATAATTTGCAGGATGTTAACTCAGAGTCCTGAGACAGCTATTTGAAAGTATGATGTTCAAGGTAGGTGTTGGGGAAGACATGTCCTCCCCTTCATCACAAAGATGGAGCGTAAACGTCTCTAAACAAGCACCTTGCTGTTTTAGCGAAAGGTTCGAATTATAGGCAGTGACTTCCCTGAACTGCTTTGGGTATCAAATAGCTGGCAATAACTATGTATTAGAGTCCTGTGCAGTTGTCATGTGTAACACTAGGTGGCATGTGTCATATAATTCAGAGTTCTAAATTGCAGTTAAAACTTCCCAAAACCTTTTTGATTTTTCTGCTTAATAATAGTACTTCTTTTTAATGCTTTAAACAAAACCTTTTTCTTCCGTTATTTTGGAAGCAAAATTATTTTTGTTTTGTTGCATTTTGCCTGTATTAACAGACAGCTACGGCATTCAGCAAAGCGATTTCTGTCGTCTGCTGCTCATTCATTTATATGCAAGAATTCATGTAACTTTGATTTCTCCGAGATAATTAGTTATTTGGCAGTTAAAGCAAATAGATGATCTGTAGGTTTTAAGTGTATTCTATTGCGAGTCACTTTTTTTCCTCTTAAGCTCAATTTCCTAATTTGCAAAGTAGAAATAATCCCTAACTTGCAGACATTTAGAAAGTGTGGGTTATGATCTTGCCTTCTGAAATTCTTTAGATAGTCATTCACAGACAGGAAATGAATGCGTCCATAACCTGTTGCCTCCTCTTTGAAATTTGCATTTTTCGAAGTTGTTTTACAGAAGTTCATGTCCGAGTTACTGACCTTCTTAGAGCCCCACCTCCAGCCCTCCCCGCTGTCACACGATCCGTGCGAGTGGTTGTGTAGGGTCTTCCTAGAGCAAGACGACGACATGGTCGAGGCTGCCAAAGCGACAGTGGGCATCTACCTGAGACTGACCAGGTTAGTACATGGCAAAGCGAGTGTACCATCCACGTGCCAGGAAAGTAGAACACATTTTTAATGCTATGCTAGACCTGTTATTTACTTTCCATCATTAGGAGGGGAGAAAATCCCTACTGATCTCGTGGTTTCCTGATAAGTTCTGGTCCCTTTCTTTAACTGCGCCCTATGTAAAAATGAGATTACATTCGAGTTTTCATTCGAAAATGCGGCTGGCTAGGCAGACCCAGGGCAGCAGGGGTATGAGTTCTGGTTTAGTCTCCATCTCTGTTCTACCTTTGTGATCAGGAGTAGGTTAACACTCTTGTCTAAATCATAATCTAGTAGAATTTTAAGAACTCTGCCCAACTTTCCCGTATCGAACTTCAGCAAGGTAATTTTTACCTTTGTAAAGGTGAGTACAACCTCATAAGTCATCAGAGGAGCCGTGTTCAATTTTCATGCGGTCGAACTGCTACCATTTTGAAGCAAATCTGAAATCGATCACGAAGTTATGTTGCCGATTTTATACCGATTGCATTTCTGCTTTATTAAGACAGTTGTACTCGGGGTAATATCTTCCTGTGGCAAATATCTGTACTTGGTTACGGAGCTAATGTCTGATGACCTTGTACACTATTTCTGCTTCCGCCTTATTAAAACCCTAAAGTAGTTGTTATATTTCCATTTCTTGGCTTCAGAGAAAGGGGCTTCTTCGTAATGATTGTCAGTGTAGTGTCCTGCTGCCACTTCTCGTGCGATGGCACTTCTGGCAGTGGTCGCTTGCAGACTCTAAGTGTTTGGGGCCAATTTTCAAAAAGTTCTAATCAAGAACACAGAATTCCTGCGTGTGATTTGAATTAGGCTCAGAAATGGTCGAATACAAACTCCGTCCGAATGCACGTGCCTATTAGAACAATCTTAGTTGTACTCAAAGCTGACTCCTTGCGAAATAGGAAGCCTCTGAAATAAATTCACTTTATATGTGGATTTCTAAAAAGAGTTTATTGGCCCTTAATTGGAAATTCTAAGGGATCAAGTTGGCATCAAGCATAACTGTACACTCAAGGATTTAAGTCATGTCGTTGATTATTTTTCTTTCTGTCGAAAGCTCTGAATTCATTCTCGGGCACGGTCCCCGGCAGTGTCAGACTACAGCAGCCTTATGGCGATAATCTTTAATCATTGCAGCAGAAGTCCTAGGGGAGATCCGATTGGGTCGCACATTCATGGCGGAACCAATCACCGTGTCTGGGAACGTGGAGACTCTGATTGGTCAGTCTGGGTCACGTGCCCAGACTGGAAAGGAAGGATGTTAGGGTCCATCCCCACCTCACTGCAGTATTTACCTGTAAGAATGTGGCACTTTGATGTCAAGAGACGGAAGGCAGAGTACTCTGTTGGGCAGATGAAAACTGGAACTACCCAAGTCAGTTTTCGTTTATTTTATTTTATTAGGTCTGATTTATAGAGAATTTGTGGAAAAAGAGATTAGTTTGAAGTTTTTTTTTATATATATATATATGATACATATATTAGAAAGTAATCCAGTAGGTGAATTTACTATATGTGTATGTTATATCTGCCAAAACTCCTTTTTGCAAAAGTCATTCATCCGGGGTCTCCATTATCTCTATTTTCAGAGAACGTGAAGCTGTTGAAAGCTTGACCCAAGAAAAAGAAAAATGGGACCATCACACACATGAAAATGGCTACAATCCACACTGTATTTTCTTATTCTTTTTAAAAAATGTAGGGTTCGATGCTACCGTTCTTCTTGACTTTCTGATTTCCTCAGAAACCTGTTTTCTTGAATATTTTGTTAGATATTTAAAATTACTGCAGAAAGACTGGGATAAATTTTTCACCATTTGCAAGTCCTTCGATGTCACTGAATCTAACGATAGCATAAATATCTGTGGTCGTGTCTCCTCACTTGTCCAAGACAGAAGCAGCAGCCGAACAGAACCTAGTCCTTGGGCTGCTCGTGGCAGTCACAGGAATGCTTGTGCTTCGGCCTCGTGGCCTTCTGATGCTTCTTCTGAACCACCAAACCAGGTCGTGATGTCCAAGGAGACCCAAGCCACACTCCAGGCTGACGGTCAGTCTCTTCCTCAAGCTTCTCAAAGTCTGGTAGATTATGACAGTTCTGATGATTCTGAAGTAGAATCCAAAGACCCATGTTCAGCAAATAGTAAAGAGACATCTTTATACCAAGAAGCAATGAAGAAAATTCAGGACACTGTTGGAATAAGTAAGAATAAAAAAGAACTTAGCCCAGAGCTTCAGTCAAGACCTCTGGTTCCAAAAGCATCTAATAATCCCTTCTCTGTCGATTGTGATATAGTCCCAAATAACACTGACTCCAAAGTGGGAACAGCTTACAGAACAGTAAAATGCTTCGAAGAGCTACAAGGTGCCATTCACCGTTTGCAGAAGAAAAATCTTTTTCCATATAATCCAACAGCACTAATGAAGTTGTTAAAACAGACTGAGGCGATGTATAATAAAACTGTGAATCCTCTGTAAAACAGTGGCAATTTATTTCCAGGGACTGTTTTTCCCCAATGTAGATTGTGCCTTATGAGATAAATAGTAAAACAAACAGACGAAAACCTTAAAAGAGTTTTCCAAATTGTCTTTCTCTTTGGCTGTTGGAGGCAGCTCAGTGACTGAAAGAGATAGCAAATGAGCAACCACTTGATAGAGTTTCACACAATTTACCGTAGTTCAAACGTGCAGAAATTTGGGATGGTTACTGTATCCATTTGCTAACGCTGCTATAACAAATTACCACAAACTGGTGGCTGGAAACAACAGAAATCGTCTCCCAGTCCTGGAGGCTGGAAGTCCAACATCAAAACGCCATGCTTTATCTCCAGACTGCAGGAGACAGTCCTCCGTCGCCTCTTCCTAGCTCCTGGCGACTGCTGGCGACCTTCGGCGTGCCTTGATCTGCAGCTGCCTCACGCCAGTCGCTTTCCTCCGTGGTCGCGTGAGGTCTGCTTTCCCTGTGTGTGTATCTGTATCTAGTTTCCCTCTTAAAAAGACGCCAGTTGTTGGACTCGGGCCCACTGTCATACAGCATGAGCTCATCTTAACTTGATTCTGTGCACAAGGACCTTATTTCCAAATGATGTCACATTCACGGGTTCTGGGTGGACGTGAATTTGGGGGGACACTAATACGGTGCAATTATTATTTCTTCCTGAGTTATTTACATGTATTATGACGTATAAAAGAATAGGAATCTTAGTAGATTTTTTAAAGAGGTAATTAGCTATGTATATATGTATACGGTCTGTGAATGGGCTAATCTTTAAAAAAAAAATTTTTAATCACTGTAATTTTCCTGTTTAAAAATCTGAAGTGTTGTCCTTAAAAATTTGTTGTAAATGATCCTTTTGAAGAGAAATAATGAAGAAGACAACTTACCAGATATTAAAGACTGCGGTTATCAAAACAGGTTGGTACTCATTCAGGTAGACGTGAAAGATCAGTGGAACTAAACAGAAGCTTGCTAATTTAAAATAACGATGAGATGCTAATAATGTCAACCAAAGGGAAACGCAGGAGTCAGAAACTTGGCTGACAATTAGTATTTATTGGGTTAGTTTATATATCAATTAAAAAGTATGTCGAAGAATATCTATTCAAGGGTGGTCAGCGCCACTTTGCAGAAACAAAAGACTAGAAATATCCGGTTAAATATAACGTGAACTCAGTAGAATACTGTGGACACGTGGAAAGGAGGAGCTGTGTCCATGTTTACAGAAATCAGACATCTGCAGTGAAAAACAAACATAACTGGGCTTCCACCTGTTTAAGAAAAGGAGGGAGCGCAAGTGTAACAGATTTATATATGTTTTTGTGTGTTCGTAAAATCTTTTTATAAGACTATACGAGAAAGTCCTAATCGTGGTTGCCTTGGGAAATAGATCTGAAGTAAATTTGACCTCGTAAGGCTTTTTAACTCTTACTTCTTTTTAACTGAGTACATAACTCTTTTTTTATAGTGAAAATAACTTTTTTTTTCTTTTTTTTTTTTTTTTTTGAGAAGAACACAACCATGATTCTAGATGTTCCTGGGGGCACGCAGATGATGAGCGCATTAAAAGTCACATTTTTTGAGAAGAACACAACCGTGATTCTAGATGTTCCTGGGGGCACGCAGATGTCGAGCGCATTAAAAGTCATGCTGGGACAGATGTGTCTCTGATCCTCGTTTCTCTCTAAGGTTCATAAGGAACCATCAGCCCCTCGTTATGACTAAAAGGAGGAAAAGGCAGTCTTGCGTGGATGCTGAGCTTTGGTATTTCAGAGTCTCCATAGGTAACCTACCCTCAGGCGTAAGTCAGTTCATCACATTCATAAAGCGCCACTGTAGGTAAAGGTGAGCGACGCCGGCTGTGTTGTAACTACCCGCGGCCATTCAGAGTATCTGAGAGGTGTTCTGAGTTAGTCCATAAAGGAACACAAAACTAGGGATCTTTGCCCAGTCTGTGACTCCACCCCTTCTCCAAGTTCAAACACATGTGCATCCGTGTAAGCACAAAGTGTAATGAGTCTGATTTATTGTTTTAAACTGTCGCAGAGCAGGGTGACACGTGTGAGTGTACGTCTCACAGCTTGGTGAATTTTCACAGACGACATACCCGTGGACCCAGTACGCAGACCAAGAATCAGCCTCCCTGGCATCCCAGAAGTCCCCGTGAGTCCCCTTCCAGACCACTACCCACCTGTAAAGGTAACTCTATCCTGTATTGAGACAACGTAGATAGATTTTGCCTGGTTTTACCTTTTATGTAAATGGAATCAGAATATGCTTGCTTATGTCTTGTGGCTTCAACGTTATTTGGGAGTGTGTTCTAATTTATTTTTTAAATAATTGTCGGGTAGCTGCATTTCAGCTATTAAACTCCTCAAAATTGTCTGTGGGACTCCCGGCGTGCTAGGATGGTGAAACCGACAAACGGGTTGGGACAAACTAGACGCAAACAGGTTATGCAGGACCTTGTGCAATGGGCCCCAACCTGCTTCTCCCGCCTGTGGTTGTCCCCACCCACTGTCTCAACAGCACCTCCTTAGTCACCTCCCATACTCATTCATCAAGGCCCGTCTTCAGCATGGGAGCTGGGAGGCCTCCCCCATCTGTTCTGGACCGTGAAGTCCCATTATCTTCGGGTTCTCATCATGGCGCCCTTTCCTGGAGCGTGCGTCTCCGTTTGCCAAGCTGTTCTCACGTCGCCCTGCTGAATAGCATCGTGCCTGTGCTGTTATACGCACATCACAAGTACCAAATGAATGAGACCAGATCCCTCGCCACAGATCTCACAGTCTATGGGGGCAGACGTGCTGTATGTTGCGCTTCCTACGTGCCAGGTGCCGTTCCGGGCACCCCGGTAATCCTCACGTTGGCCATTGAGGGCAGGGAACTGTTAACAACCCCTGTTCTACAGGTGACAGATTAAGTAACTTCCCCATCACCACCCCGCTGGTAGGAGCAGAGAATCGGATCCAGGCGGCGTGGTTCCCACCTCTCCAGAATTGATGGTCTGTCTTCAAGACCGCGTGATAACGTGTGCACCGTCCAAACAAACGGTCGCGGGTTCGGATGTGTGTGGCGCGTGGTACAATGAGAAGTCCCGCTAGAAATGTATGTTGGGGTCAGACCACCCAAGACCTTGGGTGTCGTGCTGAGGAGTTTGAACCGTGCCATAGGTGGCGGGGAGCCAGTGAGGTTTTTGAGTAAATGGCTGTTTTTGTGTTTGAAGGAGGGGACTGCAGTGGCACCATAGTGGCGAGGCAGACAAGTAGAGAGGGTGGGGAGAGTCTCACGGAAGTCCCCCCGGGCAGTGGGGCGGAAGAGGGCGCGCAGGGCCTTCTGGCTGAATGCATCAGGTGCTCTCTCCCCAGAGACGCACCGAGGCAGAGTCAAGGGGCCCAAATCAGGAGCAGTGAGAGACACACGAGGACTGAGCCGCCCGAGAAAGCCGCATCCTCACCAGGCCTTCGGGAGGTTCCAGGCAGGGCCGAGGGCAGGCATAACGCGCCAGAGATGGCGTCAGTTGGACACTTGACACGCTGAAAGTCGAGAACCGCCACTGTCTCCAGACCTTTCCCCCAGGGCACTGGAAGAGACTTCTCTGGGGACTCTGACCAACCTAAGAGGAAACTGCGATTTCCCCATAGAATTACTCAGCCACATGCCCATCCTGTGCAGCCCGGAGCGGCACGCCTCACCCGCGCGCATAGAGTTAATTGGCATTTCTATGCCCGACTACATGTGAGCAAGCAGCTAGGGATCATCAGGCATCTGGAGAAATCTCTGACACACAGGCCAAAACAAATGAGACAGGCGAAGCAAGGAGGAAGTTAGTCTGTGGTACACTGAGATCATCGGTTATAAAGGGTACGTTAAAAAAATATTCAGTGAGGAAGAGGAACCTCATAAATATGATAGCAGAAATTAAAAAGTCGATAGAAATGTAGTAAAATTGAGTCGAGGAATTCGAGGCAGTATAGCAGTGGGACAAAGAAATCGGAAAATCGAAACGATATGAACATGTGGGGGATCAGAATAACAAGTTCTGCAGAGAGAGAAAAGAGGAAACAGGACAAAGTACTCAAGAAAGTCAAGGAAATTTCCAGAACCGAAAGACTCTTCTGAGTCTTTAAACGATACTCACACTGAGGGAAAAAATAAACAGATTTTTTGAAGTAGGAAGAGGATCAGCCCGAGTTGTTTTTCATTTGCGTGGCTACTGCTTTTTAAGGAAATAGAGAAGTAAAAAATCTCGTGAGGAATAGAGTTCAGTTTGCACCTGAAAACTGTCATCGGTTTTCATCATTTAGGCACTGTCATCAGCCCACGTTGCCGTCTGGCAGGTAGATAGAAATCCTGCCTTGAAAATAAGGACAGCGTCAGAGAAAAACATAGGGTCATTTGCATGTAGACAATTGGCACTAAGACAATCCCCGGAGAAGGTAGGATCGCCTTGACCTTGAGAGGAAAAAGGTTCCAGATAAAAAGGTTCTGGGAGAGCAAGAAATTCTGGGAGGAAGCTGAGAGGTCAGGGAGGGTTTTGAGAAGGAAAATGTCTCGGAGTTTAGTGTCTCCAAAAAGAAGCCACTGAATATTTTGACCTGTTTGGGAGCCGTGGGTGACATCTGAGAGAGCGATTTGAGGTAGACGCAAGTGCTCACGGGAGAGGAAGGGTTAGGGACCACAGGACACGGTTTCCAACTCATTTTCATTCTCTATTATCTGAATACTGGGATGTTACGTAGCACACTCTGTAAATGAAGTGCCGAAAACTAAACCCAACCGTCATCACCGTCACCAAGGCAGCGTGTAGGTCGCCAAGCACTTCAGTCTCTGGCCTGTCCTGCTGCCGCCCCTCCCGCCTCTTCTCGAAGCACGTGGGCCACCCTCGAAGGACACACCCCACCTGGCTGCATTCAGCGAACCCGAACTGCCCAGGTGTTTGGAAACTTGACCTAAATACTGAACTTTAATTGGTCTTGTCACTTGGGACATCGTGTGTAGAGTCATCTGGCTTTATTAAAATGCCCTTTTGAAAACTGTGGTCGATAAAATACCTTTTCTGACTGTTATCATAGGTCAGACTAGCAAACCAATTCCGAGGTTTCTGACGATTCTAAGGAAGGCGGAGCTGAACAAAGCCCATGGAAGCTTTAATCAAAGTTAACATCGTGGATCCTCATTACAAAGCTCACTGGTACATTTTTTAAGATATAGGAAAAATGGTGATCTACTAAATTTGCCGTTGACATCAAGCTTTACCGAGTCGTTTAACTAAACTGAAGTATAGTTACTATGTTGGATAAAATACATGTTTGTGTATACCCCGGGGTGCTTGCATTTTTCCTTTTGGGGATTTTTGCTTTGTTGTCAGAGAAATTACAGTTCTCTGCTATTTAGAACTGGGAAATAAAATATGATCAGGGTATGACTTCCCGTTCAGCGAGAAAGGTTCCAGTGTTTTTAGTCTGCTTTGAGACGACAGTCCACCTCATCGTTGACAGCTGCGGAGTTTAAAACACGGGTTCACCTTAAAGATATTTTCCAGGAGTGGCGTTTGGGATTGTCGGTGGCGTCGTGACAGCGTGTGCGTTTTTTAGGCCTCCCGTCAGACACACTTCTCCCTTGAGACCCACATGTGAACACACCAGCAACACCTTTATGATTTTTATGACTTTGTTTCTTAAATTATTCAATAAATTATAATAAGGGTAGGCTTCCTTGCACCTAAATTTAGAGATTTTCTCTCTCTAAATTTCTGGGTATTTTTGTTTCTGTAAAACATAAAAGGGTAGTATAGCCTGCTAGTTAAAATAGATTTGGACTTTTGACTGTCGGTTCTCATATAAATTTTTTTTCTGATTTTGCTGCTTTTTTTTTTTTTTTCCGTAGAAAGATTTTCCATTCTAGATTGTTGACAAGTAAATCGTTTTTGGTGTCACACAGCATTCTTGGCTTGAATATGCCATGTGCCCTCTGAATTGTGTCACTTTTGATATGCATGTCGAGCGACTGGATGATCACATGGAAGGGAAGGCCAGTGACGAACTGGTAAATAAAATTAATTGCCGACCGTTTTTCCACGACGCGGGTGAGTTTTATTACAAACGAAGTGTGGAATCAGTAACATTTAGGGTAACATTTAGAGTAACATTTAGTAACCACAAACAACCCAGCTCTCTGAAAGGTCTGTCTGGGCCAAAAAGTATGTCAGCGCATGAGCAGATCCGGAAGTGGGCCTTATGCATGGCCGCACTTTGGCACGAAAAGAGAAGCCACTGGAATTTTATCAGAAGCTTCTCTCTTAACAGCATCGTAAAGAGTAAACAGCAGAGCTTATTTAATTCTTTAACAGTCTCTTGTGGTGGGTGGACAAGGCCTGTCTTCAGGAAGATGTGTCATTCCGGTCACTACAGGTCAGTGGTGAC